ATGTGGTAATTTTCAGACAAATAATTTTAAGAGCCTTCAATCACTGCAAGTTTTATTTTAAGAAAAGCTGAAACATCAACACTAATAAGCACAATCAACAAATCTTTAGTTCTCTCTAACAGTGTTTGAGTCACTGGCACCTGCTAGGATCAATCTAGATAGCCGCTACAATACTTCGTTCCAACAGTCTCTTAAAAAGATACATGAAGTTCAAGCTTTACTTACTAAGCTGTCCTATAACAAACTTTCCCTCCACCCCCAACCCTGACTCACCCAGTTAGAACTAAACTATTTCAGCACCTCACTTCTACATTTAAAAGTTACGTATCTCAAACACACGTCATACACTTCAGTCAATTCCATTTGCTCCTACAAAACATTGTACATTTTCAATTAGCACTGTCAGAAAGGGAAGCACCCTCTGGTCTTTTCACTGAAAATCAATTATGCAAAAAACAGTTTAGGTGGTCTAATTTAGCTGTGCCATATGTATACTACAAGGTGTTCAACAGCTTTGATGAAAAATTGGCAATGATGTTAGCCAGCTGTCTGGGATCTTGGTATTACATGGTGAAGATGAATATCTCATTCATTAAATTTTCCTTAATTTGTACAAGTCACCATTTTTCCTTTTATAATTAACAACTTTTCTATTGTTTTTCCCAGTTGGGAAAGTTTAAAATCCTTGCCACATCCTGTTTATATAGTCTCAATGTTCTGCTAATTGTCATTCTACTAAAATAAAGCCTTTTTACATGGCTGTATTTTATATTGGCTGGCTTATTTTCATCGTGGCATTTTCTCATATAGAACCATCTTCCTGGCTGAGGTGTGCAAGACCTAACTTCCCTTCAGAGTACTATACTATCTTCAGTGCTTTTCCACCTGCTTTCTCCATTTTGCTTTCAAACAGTAGACAGTTTTGCTAACTTTGATCATAATGCAAAAATATGTTTAATATTTTCACATCTGTAAAACTGAAACACATTTAATCAAAGCAAGCATTGTATTATAAGATATGATAAACTTTGATTTTCTATTCTACTGCACTTCACTTTTTGAGAATGCTGGTCAATCCACTAAATTGACTTTATAAATTTGCTAGTGAGTTACACAGCTTGCTCTGGGGGAAAAATATATCAATTGATGTAAACACTTCTGAATCTGGACAAATAATCTGAATTTTAGTCTGAACTCCATCAGTAACTAGAAGAGCTTACATAAGCCATCTCGCCTCAGAGCTCCTGTCCCTCAACACTGAAATAAGAGAGCTGAAACAGGTCATAGGAAGATGTAGTATGCAGTTAGCTAACGGCTCCCATTGCCACTTCAGACCACTCTAACTTACTCTGTCCTCTGGTGCTTCACAGTCTGGTGACATTGGGACAAATATGAATCTTAAAAACATTTCTTCCATAAACATAGAAAAAGCATCCAATTACACTGTGTCCCATGTATGCATGGATATTTTAGTCCCTTTGAGCTTTTTATTTGCTTCTGATATTGAGACTTTTCCCTTTTCCTTTCTAGCCAATGGCCTTCCAGAGACCTAAGCCTATCAAATTAGTAAGATAACCGAGGAATCAGTATAGCAGGATGAGAGTTTTACTATAGGGCCATAAGAGGACTTAAGAAATCAGGTTCTGGAATTGCCATCATCTTTAACTTTCTGAGACACTTAATTCCAGCAGTACTGTGCTAGGATAATCAGGTAGTATTAAGGCAACATTCAAGACTTAAAATTCAATTAAGATAAATATTCAAAGAAATAAGAATATTGCTTCATCAAAGTTTTTTGTTAAAAGGGAAAGCATAACATGCCATTGTCTTTAGTTTTTTTTTTTTAAAGATACTCCTTATAGGTTAAATAATTATTCAGAAAAAAGATCTCAAAGACCTGGTTAATCATTAACTAATGAACTATCATAAAAAGATTGGTTCTGTTAGTCACGATTTTCCTCATACACGTAATTCTTAACCAAAATTTTGTCCAAGTTGTTAATAAAAGGAAAATAATGTATTCTAAGGTTTTATTAGAAAAGATATACTTAAAGAATAGTTAAAATATTCAGTGATTAATCTACATTTGTAAACTTTCCTGAACACATGACATTTTAGCAGGAAGTACTATTCTGAATAAATAAGCAAATAAATTTTAACCCATTAGGATGAAATCATAATAAAAATGCATAAAAAACTGTAGGTGATACAGTTAACAGTAACTTGTTCCTTAATATTGTTACTCTAGTAATGATGCCATTGTTACTGGGAGATGTGAAGTCACATGAACACACAAATGTCCAAGGTATGTTCAATGAAAGGCAAGCGTTAAAAAAAACTGATGTGTGTATGTTTGTATATTGATTTGTGTAATTATATTTTTTATCTTGAAGGATCTACAGAGTATTAACAGGGTGAATTCTGAGTCACGGTAATAAACTGGGGACAAGAAAGAGAATTTTTGTGGCCTTATACCTACGTCTATGTTTTAGTTTTTTTACAATGAACATGTAAAACTTGTAGTTTTAAATATTTTTAAAATAAGGTACTATATACCCACTCCAGTTGTTGCTTAATAAACACAGGGAATAAAAGTAAGTTGCCATCCTGCAAACATATCAGGGAATCCAAACGAAAAGCACTCTATTTGTGAGACCACACGACAGGGACAGTGATAAAAGAACTTCAGAGTGCTTTGCAAGCATTAACAAGTGGGTTAAACTTTTAAAATTAAACCCTGTTGATGTTTTCTGCATCAAAAAGATTTGCAATACAAAAAAAAAAAAAAACATGATGCATAAAATGTACTAATGAAATAAAATTATGTAAATCAGGTAACTTTAAAATTTTTAAGTCCATCCCACTAAGATTAATGAACCCTCCTTGTTTTTCCACCTGGAATTCTAATCCCAGGCTTATTTTCAGGAAGATTTTCTGCCATTTGTCTCCAGAAACATTTGTAAAGCATTAAGGCTTTGATTTATTCACCTGTATACTTGTTGAATGAAATAGAGCCTGCTTCAACTTTGATTTGCTTCAAACCATATGAAGAGTTAATATACTAATACCACTAAGAAGGTGATTTCTGTTAAAGTTGGTTATTTCAATGCTATTCGGACAAAATTAAACTATAAAAAAAAAGCCTAGGTACCAAAATACTAGCAATAGAAGGATGCTAACTACATATGACAGAAATCCATTCAAAAGAAGAAAAGTTATTAATAGATTACTAATCTAATAAACAAGCAATATAATAAATTTTAAAATGCAAATATTTTAAGCATAAAACTGATCCCATATAGCTCCCCATCAAAAATACAAACAAGTTTCCTTCCACATACATACCATAAGAAAAGGCTAAATAAGGACTAAATCAACCTAAAATAATTTGAAAGTGGCATAAGGGCTGAGAGTTATTAGTGAAATCTAAGGACCATCATGAGAGCATTTTCTAGTACCACATTCAGGTTGAAATTGAGATTGTAATACACCCCGGGCTTTATGGAAATAAGGGTGCAGCTTTGAAAGAATGGCTTAAAGTTCCAGAAAGTGATGGGTTGTTTGTTTTTTTTACACCTTGAGCTACCTGCACAGCTGCCAAAAAGTGTTAAGGTGGATGATGAATACACCTCTGAAAGGCTTACTATAGCTCCATATATTTTGATTCTTGAATCAAACCAATTAACTAATGCACTTTACAGTTAGAGCTCTCACATGGTAGAGTGTAAAGCAAGCTTCCCAATAGGAAACCAGTAAGGATCTCCATTTCCCAATCCCTTCCATGCAATCACGCAACAGAGACACAAAGAAAGTAATGAAAACCCAGCTTGCAAAAACAGAAAGGGTCCTACATAAAAAGGACCTCAGGTAAAGAAGGACTAAAACTATTCTTCATGCCTCTGCAATGTAGAGGTGAATGCTGCTCATTTTCCTTGCAGGAACCCAAGTTCCATCTTATCTGAAACATATCCTATATATCTGGTGACCACAGAAAATGGGAACCAACCAAAAGAAGTGAGTCATGAAATGACTATTACCCCATGAGCAAGCAGCAAGAAACATACATCATAAAGGAATTGGATGCCTCCCCCTAAAGTTACCCATTCATGAAAAGTAGACAGTGCTAACCAGATGTCAACTGAATAAATGCTGTCAGCCTCAAGTTTTCTGATAACCAAGCTAAAAAGTTTCCAAGAAATAAGAAAATAAGGCTTCTCTAATCTCACTTTTCTTCTACAGTTTACTTTTAAAACTTAAAGACAGTTCCTTGGTGCCTAGGTTTAAAAAAAAAAAAAAAGTCCCTCCCACCTGTTCATTCCACTCCAAGAAAAGTCCTCTTTATTGGCACTATTTATGGGAAAGCCAGTGAGGTCACCCCATTTTAAAAAACAAGTCAGTCTCTGAAAATAAGATTTCAATGAAAATGCAGCGCAAAAGGGCACACGACTGCAAAATTCAAACAGTAAGAACGAACCTCTCTGTAAAGAGAGATCCATCACTGCGCGGCTTCCGATGCCACCCGAGGAGGAAGAGCACGCAAATCCTGTCCATCGTTCGTTTAAAACGAAAGAACAGTAACAGTCGCAGACAGAGACCAACCCCTACCATCCTCCGTCATCCCTCCGAAAACACTAGGGAAAAGAGCAGCACTGAGCAAAAGGACAAGATGTCATGGATTTTGCACTTAATGCTAACGAGGAGCTTGGGACCCAACAATCAGCAAACAGCAGAACCCAAAATCGGGGACGGGAGGCGGGGTGGGGGGCGGGCGGTTCATCCGCAGTCGGAGCGATTAGAAAACAGGTTTCTGCCTTCGTGAGAAGCCTCATCGTGGGAAATGTCACCGCCTGGCTCGACACCTGCTGGATCGGCCCCTCCAGGAGCGGCGGGGAGTCACGCCAGCTACCGCAGGGGACCCCCCGTCCGCCCCCGCCCCCGCTCCCCGGTGCCCGCAGCCCCCGAGGCCAGGGTCTCGGGGAGGGAGCGGAGCCAGGCAGTACCAGGTGTAGTCGTCCTCGTCCCGCCAGGCGGCTATGCTCTCCAGATCCAGCAGTTCCACCTCGTCCAGCAGCGTGGGGGCCGGCGAGGGCGGCGCTGCAGCTCCCCCCTGCGGCGTCCCCGCGCCCCCCGGCTCCGGCCCGCCACCGCCCGCGCCGAAGAAGCCCGCTGCCGGCTTGAAGTAGACGAAGGGCGCCTCGGGTGGCTGCGACAGGCTGCAAAGCAGGGAGGGCGCGGGGCTAGGCAGGCAGAAGGTGCCCGGGAACGCGGGGCTGGAGCCACCGCCGCTGCCACTGCTGCTGCCGCCACCGCCACCGCCCCCCGCGCCCAGAGCCAGCCCGAGCCCCAGGCCCCCTGAGGCCGCGGCTGTGACCGTGGCGGCCGGGGGGCTCCGAGGACCCAACGGGCTGCAGGCCCCGGCGGGGGGCGGCGCGGCGGGCGGCGGCGGCGGCAGCAGCAGCAGGTGCGGGGCGGCGGCCGCGCTGGCCGCTCGACTCCGCAGCTGCTCGTTCTGCTTCTCCAGCTTGCGCACCAGCTCCTGCAGCTTCTTCACCTCCAGCTCCGCGTTCACCACCGGCCCGGAGCCCGCTCCAGAGCTGACCCCCGCCGAGGCGCATTTCACCTGCTCCGCCATCATCTTGGGCCCCGAGGGCGCCGCGGCCGCCGGGGAGTACGCGCCGGCACGCCGGCTCCTCGGGCCACAGGGAGGCTACGGCTCCTTCCCTGCCACCCCAACCTGGGGGGCCGACCACGCGCGGGCTGAGGCCGAGACGGCAGTTCGCATCAGCACCGGGCCCTCGCCTCCGGCCGCAGCAGCCGCCACCAAGCTGATCTGCACATGCTCAGTGCGTCCCTCCAGTCCCCTGGGCGTCGCGGCGGCTCCGGGTTTTAGCCGCGGCCCCGGGGCGGGGCGGGGCGAGAGCGCCGAGGGGGCGGGGCGGGGGGGGCGGAGAACCGTGGGGAAGCCCACCCAGGGGGCGGGGCCGGCAGCCCTGGTGGGGGCCAGGGAGCCGCACCCACCCTTGCTACCTAATCCCAGGTGCCTGATTGGACCTGGCCTGAACTTTCCCGCCACAGGCACCTCCTGCAGCTGCTGGGACAGCGAACTGCGCGGGTCTCTGAGCCAGGTGCGGGGGCCAGGGGGTTCCCAAAAAAGCAGCTGCAGGTGCTGGCCCTTGAGGAGTGCACCTAGGGCCCGCTGGTTTGCTTCCTTCCCAGCTCTCTGTTAGGCTCCATGACAGCATTTAATACTCACTGACTAACGAATCCTATAGAAAACTTAAAGGCTGGGGATCCTTATTCTGAAAATCGACAAGTGGATAGGGGGAACAGAAAGGCTTTGGGACGATGCCACTCATGTACTCATGGGTAATAGGGAAACAAAATGGTGGGAGACAGGAGGCCGAGAAGAAAGAGAAGAAAGCCCTCTCTCTAAGAGGTAGAGTGGCCAGCTGCTAAGGAGACAAGTGTTTACTTAAGTATTTATTCTAAAATAGTCAAATTTGAACTGTTACCACCATTGTTTGCCACAATAAAAGAAGAACTGCTTTTTTTTTCATGTTATGTATATTCACGCATTCTCCAAACAAAAGATCTCTGAGCACCTACTCTGTGCCAGGAACCATTCTAAGAGCTCGTGATGCGGGCAGTGAGTACAATAGGCAAAAATGGTTATGGAGAGAAATATGAGTAAAATTGTTTAGTGCGCCTTCTGTTAAATAATGTATGAGTTATTAAAGGCAGTCTTGCTGGGGGGAAAGCGGAAAGCAGAAAACCTCAGAATTCTACCCAATACCCTTTAATCTCACCTGCAAATCTGCTATTTCTTACCACTTGGAAACCATGAGCAAATCTGCTTTTTTAAAAGAGGTTTTAAGCAGAGGAATTTAATCGAGTTGTGTTCAATGAATACTGACTTAGCATTTTGAGTGTTTAACACAATCAGAGGAAAACCTGAGATTATATTATGAGAAAAATTACACCACTGGTTCTCATCCTCAGATGATATACTATCTAGTGAAAGTCCTTGCTAGGGACTTTACATACCAATCTTTGTGACAATGTACCTCGTTTCTCTGGAACTGCTAACACATTGTATCTATTGGTTTTAGATATGGTTTTGTGTCTTCCTGCTCAGAAACACTTGTATCTTCTCAATTGTTAATCTACATCTCTAGCTTCTGTGTGCAGGGTGGATGTTTTGCATTTAACATGCTTGGTGAGACCTTCCCTAAATTGGATAAATGCGTGTGATGACTCCCTTAACCTTCCCGGTATCCCAGCTTGCTAGCCCACCACCTAACCACCTGTATCACCCATCACCTTTCCAAGTTTCGGTCTATCTTTACGATTTTTTTGGTTATTACCAAAACCTGGAAAAGTGGAGTTGTACTACTGAAAGTCCTAAGTAAAGAATCTATTGAAGGATTTTTCCCGCATGCTCAGTGGCAGATGCGGGTAGCAGTATCCCTGCAACACAAAGAAAGGGAGACGACAGACACAATGAGAACAAAGAGCTGCTGGGTCCCACACTAGAGAAAGAAATTGGGAATAGGCACATAATAGTGAAGACAACAAGAATTAAGATGTAAAGAAAAGCAGTCATTTTACTGCACAATTTATATACACCCTAAAGGAGAGAAACAGACAGCCCTCTCCTCGTTCGTTTACCCAATATGGTCTATATACATCCAACAAGCAGTAGTCAAGCTTTTGAACCCTGTTTTCTAAGTAATAATTATCATCTTTGTTCTTTAAAAAGAAAGCATGCATTGAAATTTAGACGTAGAAAAGAGATGAAACATTGTTTAACAATTCTAGTCTGCATTATTCTTCTGAAAAGACAAATTTGCCCTTTTCCTACCTGTTTTAAAAGTGTGAAATTATTTATGTCCAAAGAAAATTTAAATAATGTTTTTGCTTTCTCTTAATGCCCCTCTTTTTTTCCCTTTTGTGAATTGCACATGTACACACACCAGAGACACTCAAAATGCACACTGATTTCAACTTGGTGTCCCCAGGCTGCCAGTCTCTTTAACGTATAATTAAAGAGGTTGATGGTGTCAAGGTTTTAATTAAGCAGTCTTGATTTTTTATTTTGATGCAAATTAGTAAGCTTTGTGTTTTGAAAGAGATTGCATGCTGTAGTTGCTCAATTGTAGTGTTTTCATTTTAAATAAAATATGTAGGTGATTTCAGAGGTTTACAAAGAAGATATGAGAAATGAAAGTGCATGTCTCATTTAAAAGTTTGTGCTTTAAGCATACATTTGATACACCGTAAGGTAATGTGAAACATCCACATATCACACATTCAAAACTGGATAAAGAAATGCACATTTCTCTCTATTAATTACACTTCAGAACTACCATCACTCTAGTGAATTTTAAGAGAGAACATGAACTTATTTTAATTTGTATTTTTCACATATATTTCTAATAGTGTCTATGAATATTAAATAGATCGAGCAACAGAATCGCAAAAGCACCGTAGGTTCCTCTTGAGTATATAAAAATAATTCTGCAAGGAAACTGAGAAACAGCCTGTTATCATCCCAGTTTTACAGATGAGCTTACGAGGTTATGTTACTGCCCAAGTTCAGTCATGAAAATGATGGTTCTTAGCAGTTGCTAGTGGGCCAGAGTAAAATTTCTCCTAGAGTAAGATTCATATGTTTAAATTTTGCGATCAGTACAGCTGACATACCCTAATATGAGTACTACATTAATTCAAGTTTATAGATCCAATTACTGCAAGAAAAGAAAATAACCTAATGTGTTAAACTAAGATCAAAGATCCCCAACTGTATTTTCAAGTCGATTTGAACCACAAGTTTGAGTGATTCTTATGCCTCTTCATGGAGATTCCTGTTTACACATACAGAATAGACTTGAACATTGCAGGTCCCATTGCCCATGTGCAGTGCCTAGCATAGTGTCTAGCACATGGCAAAGAAATACTCAAAAAATTTTAAAGGATAAATGAATCAATAAATAAATCCCCAAGTTCTAGCTGGAATTTAGACAAACACATAATTAGCTATTTCCATAAACCTCATTTATCATAAGGTAACAACATGGGAAGACTAGAGGCTTTTTGCAGATCCCATAATAATCAATTATTTTACATCAGACCCCATTAATAGCCAAGAAAATACTTGCTGCACCTAATGTGTTATGTTTTAATGTAGGGAGATTATGGAAAGAGAAAACAGAAATACAAGAAGTCAGAATTTATTTTTAAAAAATCCCTGTGTGAGTTGCTCCATTCTAACCCCACCCAACTCTACTACTCATATTCATGCCCAAACTCACATAATTATACCCTATAAAGTCACATGTGGTGGCAGTTACAAGAATAATAATAGTAATAATAATCATTCTGTTGATTTGTCAAGCTATACCTGTAAGAGCCCCTTTAAATAAACACTCATTACATGTCTATTATTTTCAGGTGCTAAATGAGTTTTAAGAAGTGAGCAAGAAACCAGTGTCTCCACCATCAAGAACTTATCTAGTTGAAGAAAGACGCATATAAACAACTAACTGTAACACAAAAAATAATATTATGTATCATAATGAAAATATAAATGAACAGCATAAGGAGTGACCAAGAAGGAGCAATTCGGCTAAAAATTTTGGGAAGGCTTCGAGTAGAAAGTAAACATTATTTCAACCAGGCACGGAGGCATGTGTCTGTAGTCCCAGCTACTCAGGAGGCTGAGAAAGGAGGATTGCTAGAGCCCAGGAATTCAAGGTCAGCTTGGGGAACATAGTGATACTTTATCTCTAAAAGAAAGAGAGAGAGGAACAAAGACAGGAAGGGAGGAAGAGAGGGAAAAAAGAAAAGAAAGAAGAAGGAAGGAAGGAAGGAAGGAAGGAAGGAAGGAAGGAAGGAAGGAAGGAAGGAAGGAAGGAAGGAAGGAATCCAGTATCTCATTTGGATCTCCTCATTTAAGAGAATTCATTATCTCATTTGGTTCTCCTCATCAAGCTGTTAGGTAAGGCATCAGGGCGAGTGTGATATTCATTTATCAGTCCGCATGGGATGAAAACTAGGATATAGTACCCAGCTCTAATTCTTAATCAATATCCTTTCCTCTGTGGTCGATTTGTTTTGTTTTTATGAATAGCTCACATATGTACTACTGCCATTAGAAAGAAACTTTCTACAATTTATCTTAGAAGCTATCTAGTGCTTACAAAATGCCAAGAATTGCTCTAAATCCTTTACATGTATTAAGTTATTTAACGATCAAACAACTCCTTGAGATACTTATTTTATAAATGAGAAAACTGAGGCACAGAGAGGTCAATTTGCCCACAGTTACCCAGCCATAAGTGGCAGAGCCAGGTTTTGAAGCTAAGCAGTCTGATTTCAGAGTCCAAGCTCCTAAACTGTAGTATCTCTTTTTAGGTCTTAAGCAGCACCAAGCAGAGTACTCTGCTCTGGTCCTTGTGGCTTTTAAATAAAAACTATTGACTAATGCAAAATCAGTCAATGGAATGCCTTGAACAAAGTCTGATTCATTAACAGGCAAATATTACTGGAACTTTAAAGGTCACCAAGCACAGATTAGAAAACAGTAAGCTTCCAAGATCAACAAAGTTCCCAGTGCTGGTACAACATTTTTGACAGTACAATGGCTATTCATTCAGTGTGCATTTCTGAGCAGATGACTAAAACAGCATAAATTATCACTGTCCTATTTTGCATTTCTAGCCATTTGGATTCTTCAAATGTCAATACCACTTTTAAGAATACGTAAAAGAAACAATGCCACGAACTATATCAAACCCAAACAGATCCAATACTGGTTTTGGAAATGTTTTGAAGTTCAAAAATTTAAAAAAAAAAAA